AAAAATATATTTATCTTACTTGAAGCCACCCTGATTGCACTGCTTTGTTATGGCAGCCTTGGTGAACTACTACAGGGGGCTTCCTGAATGAGTACTGTCAGTATTAATAAGGCCATCCAACAGCTGTGAGAAATGAAGAGCCTTGTCAAGGTCTTTCTGTCACAGCTTCCCCATGTCCCAGGTCTGTAACTGTGGACATGTTACTGAATCCCTCTTAGTCTCAGTTTCCATATATGTAAGAGGGATAAATGGGTTAAGGGAGATTAAATAAAACAATCCATGTTAAACTCTTAGCATAGAACTGGACACACTGAAAATATTCAATGGCTGGGCGTGGTGGGTCACACCTGTAATCCCAGCACTTTGGGAGGCCAAGGCAGGTGGATCACCTGAGGTCGGGTGTTTGAGACCAGCCTGACCAACATAGGGAAATCTCATCTATACTAAAAATACAAAAATTAGCTGGGCATGGTGGCACATGCCTGTAATCCCAGCTACTCGGGAGGCTGAGGCAGGAGAATCGCTTGAACCCGAGAGGCGGAGGTTGTGGTGAGCCCAGATCACGTCATTGCATTCCAGCCTGGACAACAAGAGCGAAATCCCATCTTAAAAAAAAAAAAAAAAGCAACGGACATTAGCTCTCGTTAGTAATATTTGGTAGAAGAAAGAGGAACAGTTTTCTTTCTAACAGAAAAACATCGCCTCCCCAGAAATAACCCCCAGTTGACCATGGGAAACTTGTGGAGTATCCAAGCAATCCAGAGTAATATGACACATGGCTTTCTCTACTGGCCTCTGTCCTGGGTGACAATCAAGAAAAAACTTAAATGACAGCAAATAACTCTCAGGTGACCCCATGAGTAGAAAGATGAGCCGTAACAAACATGCCCACATCAAATAAAGAATGTCCAAAAAGTCAATTCTATAAGTACAGCCAATGTAAGGTCCAGCCAGAGCAGTGTAAGTGTGGAGTGGAGAGGGTGGGAGCAGGAACTGGGCTCCCCTGTCACCTTGCTCAAGCCAAAGGCCAGTGAGCCTAACAGAAATAAATCAACAAAAAGCCGAACGTTGGCTGATTTTATGCGAACAGGATATTCAGATTCAATCAGGCCATGTTCCGCTCTGCTCTTCCTGGTTGCACCCCATTCTGGGCATCTTAACAGACACAATGGCACCTTGTGTCTGAAAAGCAACACCTGGAGTGTGTTCTACTGCAATAAATGGCTGAAGGACTTGGAAATGGTATCTGGAAAAGAAAAAGACTCAGCAGTTGTAAGATTTGGATAGCAAAGGCTGGCTAGAAAGAAGACTCAGGCAAAACCTAGAACCATCGTCAGAAGTGAAAGGAGGAGGGTAATTTATAATCAGATGGAATCCACAAAGAGGCGGTAGGATCCACAGCACTCTCTCAACCACAGGTGGAAGGGATCTTCAACTCGTGGCTGAATTTTTTGGTTTTTTTGGAAACGGTCTCACTCTATCGCCCAGGCTGGAGTGCACGGCACGATCTCGGCTCACTGCAACCTCCAACTCCTAGGATTGAACGATTTTCCTGCCTCAGCCTCCCATGTAGCTAGGATTACAGGCGCACACCACCACACCCAGAAAATTTCTGTGTTTTTAGTAGAGATGGGGTTTCACCATATTGGCCAGGCTGGTCCTGAACTCTTGCCCTCAGGTAATCCGACTGCGTTGGCCTCCCAAAATGCTGGGATTACAGGCATGAGCCATCGTGCCCAGCCAATTCATGGCTAAATTTAACACAGAATATCCCCAATATCTTTCTAGACACGCCGGGTATTGGGATCGTGTTTGTGGACTAGGAGGACAAAATGGACATCACTCTTGCATCTGCTGAGAACAGAGCACGGGGGTTGGTGCAGATGACCGTTTCATCTTCATTTAACACCAGGATTCTCAGATTCAAAGAACTAAAACAGGATGTGACTGAAACCAGGGTGGCAGATTCCCCACCCCCGAGCCACGCAAACCGGCACACTCATTGTGCTGAAAGAGATAAAAATCAGTCTTTGGGCTTGAAGGGGAAGAAAGTCTGTCATCTCTGCTCTTAGCTGAGCTGCAGCTCAGTGACTGTGTCACACTTTGGCCCCAGGCTGCCTATGGCCTAGAAAGTATGGAAAGAAAAAGAAGGAAAATGCTCCTCCGTGACAATCAGCAGCAGATAAATTATTCTGACTTTACTTCTCACTCATCACGCCTTTGCCTTTCCGTGCGTAGCCAAGTCTGCAGTTGTGCTTCTCCAGCATTTACAGGACAGGTCAGGATAACCGGCACAGGTAGCTCACAAGCCATGAACTACCCAGAACTCAGCTGAACCAGGACAGAAAAGGGAGTGGCAAAGATCAGCACTCAATTTCCCTTTTCTGCTCCACTCAACAGCAGTTAACATGACAGATACAAGGTGAATACATCTAAGCACAGCTGACCTGGATGTGTTGATCTCTGATGTTCAACACGTATCATTTTGCCACCGCTTGGATGAAATTACAAATCCCATAGCAAGAAGGAAGAAACAAAGGTGGATTTCCAGCCCTACCTACCCGTCCCATTTATTTACAGTGAGTATAATGGGTTGAAGAGTGTGTCCCCCCGCAAATTCATGTCCACACAGAATGTCAGAATGCAACCTTCTTTGGAAATAGGGATAGATATATATTGCAGATGAAATTATAATAATATCATCATTATAATTATATAATGTTACACATGTAATTAAGTTACAATGAACTCACAATGATTTAGAGTAGGTCCTAAATTCAATGGCTGGTGTTCTTATAAGAAGGCCATGTTAATGACACAGAGTGACACACAGGGCAGAAGCCATGTGACTTAGGGCAGAGATTAGAGTGATACAGACATAAGCCACAGAATGCCAAGCTTCTGGCAGCCCCCAGAAACCTGAAGGAGGCATGAAGCCATTCTTCCCTCAGAGGCTCCGGAGGAATCAATCTTGCCAATACCTTAATTTCAGACTTCTGGTCCCCTAAACTGTGAGAGGATACAATTCTGTTATTTTAAGCCACCCAGTGTGTAGCGGTTTATTACAGGAGCCCTAGGAAATTAACACTGTGAGTAAATCATCTAGGTTGCAAAGACTGACCAGGAGTAGAAAAAGAATGGAGAGTTGGGGCTCCCCAGGTAGCCCAAATGCATTACGGCCCTTTCAGAGATGAAATGAAACAGGCAGGGTGTAGCAGGGAAGCACTCTCCAAGGAAGGGGAGGGAGGCTGGATCTCAAATCCCTAGGTTCTCAGCTTCTGCAGATTCTTCCATGAATGGAAGCAACAGAACATCTGATTTGAAAGAGCTCTGAGCCTTCAGGCAATGGCCAGTGTCAGCTTTGACCAGTGTGGACCAAAGTACAGAGGGGTCTTTCCCCATGCCCTGCTCCAGGAAGAACCCCCCAAGATACCCCACACCATCCTAAAAGGTGGAGAAGGATGACCACATGATTAGAATGGGATTTCCCACCAGCCCCATGGAAATGGGCTCAATCAGATTTAAAATCCAAAAATGTATGACCTGGGAGGCTGAGACGGGAGGATCGCTGGAGGCCAGGAGTTCAAGAACAGCCTGGGCAATACAGCAAGACCTCTGACTCTGATGAATGAATGAATGAATCAGTCAGGTGTGGTGGCATGCACCTGTACTCCTCTAGGGACTCGGGAGGATGAGGGGAGACGATGGCTTGAGCCCAGGATTTCAAGGCTGCAGTGACCTACGATTGTGCCACTGGACTCCAGCCTGGGTGACAGAGAAATACTTTGTCTCTAAAAATTAAAAGAAAAAGTTCAAGAATATGACCTTTCTTCTATACTTAACGGAATAAAAACTACATTCCCCGGAAGGGTTTTCAATGAGAAAATGTTCAAATACTTTTCCCAAATGAATCCTTTGGACATATGTTTCTCATTCAAAAACGGGAGAAGCCTTAAAGGGCATTTAAGGTGGACAGACCAGCCCTTCATTGACTTACCTTTCTTGGAAGCTAAACCGGTTTCCTTCACACTATTCACGTACAGCCTTCGAATACCGTCTTCTTCCACAGAAGAAAGTGAAAACCCTGCAAAACACAAAGAATGGCAGGGCTCACACCTTCTGACTGTTTAGCAAACAACAGGAAGCGCCTGCTGTGAACAAGGTATGTTTCATGTTTGTGACTATAGTTTGGAGTGATTGTTTTTTTCTTGTTTTACAAAGCAGAAAAGCATATTTTTAGATCACTCTGGAAGTCACTACTTGCAAAAATAAAGATTACTAAGTACGTCTATCTTCATATTACCTACCAATCAATTCAAAGGAAAGCAAATTATTTTGTTTGACTTTGCTTCCTGGTAAGCGCCATCATTTTTTCTTTTCCATACACTCCTCCAAAGCACGAAACAGAAAGATTAGCTTCCCTCAGAGTCTCCAGACATTTTTCATCAAATCTACGTCCTAGAATAGGTTGCCACTGTACTGTTGGAGGGTGTGTGTTCATCCATATGCATGACTGTAAGGACGCTGCTTTAATTTAACACAATTCTGCAAACAGGAGCAAGATGCAACTCACAATACAAGTCTGTGATGTGAGTTACACATTACAGAAACTGTACCTGATTTCGCCCTCTACCAGTATCTGATCATAAGATTATCCTATATTTCTCTGGGCTGCCAGAGCTCAAAGCTCATTTGCTAATTAACCTTGGGCTATGCTACATTCTTCAGAGAGGAAAGCAGAGTGAGGTCCAGGTTTTATTTATTTATTTATTTATTTATTTATTTATTTATTTATTGAGATGAAGTCTCGCAGTCATCACCCACGCTGGAATGCAATGGCGTGATCTTGGCTCACTGCAACCTCCGCCTCCTGAGTTCAAGCGATTCTTCTGCCTCAGCCTCCTGAGTCGCTGGGATGACAGGTGCCTGCCCCCACATCCAGCTAATTTTTGTATTTTAGTAGAGATGGGGTTTTGTCATGTTGGCCAGGCTCGTTTCGAACTCCCAACCTCAGGCGATCCACCAGTCTAGGCCTCCCACAGTGCTGGATTACAGGCATGAGACACCGTGCCCATCCGAGGTCCAGGTATTCTATGTGGCTTGAGGATCCTGGGTACTTAAAACTCTATGGTTATAAGCCCTGCTCACTCCTCTTTCCAGATCGCCTCATGTAAAATGCTTTCCTAATCAGTTATTTGAATGTCCTCTATGAATACCTACTTTGCTGAAGGAAAGAAATACCTTTGCAGACACTTCTAAAAAGGGCAGTGAGAACACATGTCATTGTGTCTATCTGCAATAATTTCAGCTCTGGGAGAAAAATCATCCCATAATATAGACACCTGCCTTAATGCTGAGGGGAAAGCAGGGATTGAAAAAAAAAAAAAAAAAAAAACAACAGGCAAATAGCAAAACAACAAGATTTGGTTTCAGGGAGTCATTGAGCCTTTTTAGGGCATGTCATGAGGAAGACATGGTTTTTCGTTTAGTTTACTGGACCTGGAAATAACCTCACGTAGGCAAAACAGCTAACTGCCATCACCCGCTTACGTACTGTAACACCCTCAGATAGGGAACAGCACAGGGCCACCCCTGAGGACTTTCCAAAATCTTCATTTCATTCTCTTATTTTAAATTCTCTTCTTTCAGCGACTTCTAACTTTCAGATTAAGTGTCAAAAAGCCTTACTAAAATCAAAATATTTTTACACAAGAACCATTTAACTTACATTAGCCTTAACACAAGTGTATTTATCTGCATTTTAGAAGAAATTTTTAAATAAAAATATGTTAAGATAGATAGAATCAAGGGCTATGACATAGGAAAGAATGAATAGGAGTCATCTAAATATTGGAATTTCCTTTCTAAAATGCCATCATTCTATAACATTCTAAGACCAATTTTTTTTTCCTTTTTTCAAAAAGGGGCATGGTCTTGCTCACCCCAGTATGGCGTGCACTGATGTGATCTTAGCTCATTGTAGCCTCAAACTCCTGGGTGCAGGCAATTCCCTGCCTCAGCTGCCAGAAGAGCTGGGACTACATGAGTGCTATCACACTTGGCTAATTTTTTAATTTTTTTGTAGAGATGGGGTCTTACTATGCTGCCCAGGCTGCTCTCAATCTCCTGGCCTCGTGCAGTCTTCCCACAACAGCTGCTCTCGCAGTGTTGGGATTATAGGTGATCACTACTGCGCCTGGCCCCAATTTCTTTTCTATTAAAAAATTAGCACTCCTGGGCCAGGTGCAGTGGCTCACGCCTATAATCCCAGCACTTTGGGAGGCCAAGGCAGGTGGATCACGAGGTCAGAAGTTCGAGGCCAGCCTGGCCCCATCTCTACTAAAAACACAAAAATTAGCCAGGCACAGTAGCAGGTGCCTGTAATCCCAGCTACTCGGGAGGCTGAGGCAGGAGAATCGCTTGCACCCCGGAGGTGGAGGTTGCAGCGAGCTGAGATCGCACCATTGCACTACAGCCTGGGTGACAG